ACTTGGCTGGTCTCAGGGATGAGGCTGAGGGCAGAGAATTGGGCACAACCGTGAGATTTATCCGTCACAATGGGGGAAGACAGACTTCTTTGTTTATGTGTCATGCTACTTCTTCTCCTGCTTTCTGCCAATGACTCAGACTCTGCAGAACCGTAAGTCTCACTCAAGGCCCTTTCTTCCAGAGTGCATTTCAGTCGCTCCCTTATGTCTTCGCTTTGCCTTCCTTTGTAAATGCAACCTTTCCACCCATTAGGATACCTTCCAAACCTAAGAAATTATTTCACTTAATCCCTTGTTTACCTTTCGTTTATCCCCTGCTCTTGAAATCATTTTTCTACATTGGACCAATCAGAGTCATAAATACAAGTAGTCCCTAGGAAGCATGATTACATAAAACACCAAAAGCTTAGATCCCACCTTAACGGAACTGTCCTTTTGGATGGAAGGCATTGAGTATAAAGGTATTCAAACTGTATAGTGAGGTGCAACTTAACATGTATTGTAGGCCGTATATATCAGAAAGTATAGCTCCTTTATTTTTCAACCATGTATCAAGTCTTCAGCAACAGCCCCCAGTGGGGGATCAATGTGGCGGGGTAGTAATTTTAAACCTATGCAGTTGTAAGTTGGTAAAATTCAATAACTGTAAGACTTCTTTTCCCCCTCTCCCCAGTTTCTCTTTTCCACAGTGTCTAGAGGCGTGTGGTCTCCATTACCTCCTGATAGAGTAAAGTGTCAGAGTCCTTGGCCTCAAAGTTCTCCGTCCTTCTTGACGACTGTCAGCCTGACTTCTTCGTACGCTAGCATGCGCTGTTGGAGTTTAGCCATCCGGTTTCTCTCGTGTGGTCAGGACCCCACAGTCCTCTCTGACTGACTCACTCCATCTGTTTCATAACCCATAGAATTCCTGCCTTTCCAATGCATTCTGCCTGCAATATTATGGCTTTTTTCTCTACTTCTTGCATACCCACACTGCACTTCTAGATGCCTACCGTGTCTCCTGTATTCCAGATTGATATAGGGAAGTCTTCAGAGTCCCACATCGGGAAAGGGATAAGGGGTCCCTCTGCCCTGTGCGTTACCCTTATTCATGTAATGCAATGAGCCCTCTTCATGTCAAAGTGCAGAAAGCAGAAATCAGGACTTCCATCCGGTAACTCTCCTGCTCTCCTCAGGCTCTTCCCTTGCACAGTTTCCTGGCAGTCAGAAGGGGCACATTTCTCCCCCGCTATCCCTCTAGCTCATCTGCAGCTGTGGGCGCTACCACTTCCTGCTTCCAGAAAGCATGTGGGAATACGTGGTGGCTATTTTGCTTTCTGAGAGCGGACTGAATGGATAAAGCCAGTGGCGTGTATTGGGTCAGAAACCTTAAGCAATTTGTGGCTTTGGGCGCAGTCCCATACTGCACAGCACCATGTTACCACTGAAACCAATCTTTCACGTTGCGTCCACCACTGAACAAAGAACAACAAGCCTCATGCCCTACTTATCACAAGCAGAAGGGGTGTAGGGAGAAAACTTAACCTTATTCCTCCAGAATTAACACCTGATGTGATAAATGAGAGAGATTGCCGAAGAGACCCAATAGCCGTTCTCTGCTGCCTTGGGGCAGCAGGCTTCAGAGAGATGGAGGTTGCACCAGAATCAAATGAAAAAGAGAAAATTAAAAGTTACTGGTTTAATATTTGCTAAATTTAATCCCTGCTAAAAAGGCAAATATTTAAAATGCAAACATTCATGATTGAGTAACGTGTTAAAACATTTTAGCTGCTCACTACCAGTGAAATCTTGGTCAAGTTTGTCAAGATGGGTTTGTTCCAATTTCAATAATTATTAAATAAATATTAACTGAACTCGTATTAAATAGTTCTTTGAAATATCAAATATATGTGGAATTAATTTTGAATTGTGATACCATTTAGGCTTATAATTTATAAGAAAAAAGTAGTATTAAATAAAAAAAATTAAACAAAATATATTAAAAATATATAATATATAGATATATATATTATATATACAATATATAATACATATAAATATATATATAAACATATGTAAATAATATATATAAATATATATATAAATAATATATATATAAATATTTATATATTTAGGCATATATTTATATATATATTTATATATATGCCTTCTTGGGATCAAAGAACTAATGAAAAAATTTTTGGATGGGGAGGTAAAATATGATACATGTTTATTGTTTATCATGTCCTTAAAAGAGCAGTGATCAGGGGATTGGAATCATCCAGATACCAGAAAAAGATTAGACAAAAGGGACTAGCCGAATGAAGACGGGCAAGTTATTTAACTGCCCTCAGCATCTCTGTTAGAGAACACAACCTTACCACGCATACAGTAAAATAATCTGAAACTTTAATGATTTAAGAGTGGCTCCAGAGAGTCATGGCGGACAGTTTTGCCCAGGGACACATTAAAACACATGCAGCAAGGCTGGTGTGCTGCAGCAGGCTACGTGAGGATGAGAGAACCAACCTGAGTTCCAGGTTCCACAAGTCAATTATCTTTAGATTCTCACCTCCTAGTCTCACACCTATTAATTTTGTAAAGTAACAAAATTGGGTTTCTTGTGTCGAAGTGCCTGTCCAGAAAACAATTTAAAATGTAAGAGTTTATGTTGGCAACGGAAAGGTAAGGCTAGTAAAATAATATAAGAAAATAATAATTTTTACTTGTGAATTTACTCTATGGCTTAACCCCGCAGGTGTTGCATCATTAATCCTGGAATCGTTACAGCTTTGAGGAGTCACATTTTATGCATGATATACTGATTTGCCATGGGGGCAGGGATTTTATCCTTCTGTTATTTATTCAAGTTTTGGGGACTGATGAGGATCTCCTGGGACAGCTTCCACAAACATGGATGATTGTGTCATGCATGTACCTGACAGCTTGCTGGGAAGATTAAATGGCTCAGTACAGGAGCTGTTTAACAATCCCCGTTGTGTGGCAGATACTCAAAAACAGCAACAACAAAAACATATTCTCTTTCAGCCCATGAGAGTTCAGAGTGTGGAGAGATTATATTGGTTCAATGTTTACGGAAGGTGACCGGGAGCTGTGAGGGGAGGGCTTTAGAGACAAAGGGCACTCATCAATAAAGCTGAGGCAAGAATATGAGGCTTACACAAGAAGCTGCCTGTGCCCCTGAAAAACTGAAAACATTCAACAAGTAAATAAAAAAGACTTTTCAAAATAATATGTACTCATAGTACTTATATAAACTTTTTAAGAGACAGAGTCTCACTCTGTCACCCAGGCTGTAGCGCAGTGGTGCAGTCATAGCTCACGGTAGCCTCGACCTCCTGGGCTTAAATGACCCTTCCGCCTCAGCCTCCTGAGTAGCTGGGACTACAGGCACGCACCATTACATGACCACACCTGGCTAAATGTTTTAATTTTATTTTTTGTAGTGACGAGGGTCTCACAACTTTTCCCAGGCTGTTCTCAAACTCCTAGCCTTGAGTGACTCTCCTGATTCAGCCTCCCAAAGTGCTGGGATCGTAGGTGTAAGCCGCTGCTCTGCTGTCAGCCTGGGCCTGTTTTTTTTTAAATTTAAAAGATAACCTGTTCACCCATGTGATCCTTAAACAATAATGTATTTGGACATATAATACTAAATTATTAATGTTGATTACCCCAAGAAATTGTGGATAAAGGGAAGTGATAAAATACAGTCTGTGTTTGTGTAGTGTGTGTGTGGGGAGTTGTGCGTGTAAATAATTGACAAAATTTTCAAACTTGTTGATAAAATATTGATTTTGACTGAGCTGTATCTGAGGAGCCTCAGAGAAACAGCAAATACTTTTTTCAGTGTTGCTGATATTAAGAAAATGATTTTGCAATATACACATGTGTTATTTCAGGTAATGGCATATGCTTACTGAAGCTCTTTCCGTTGAATTTGTGTAAATCTAAATTCATGGTGTTCATTCCAAAGTGATGTTTATCTAGACAGATTTTACTGTAAGTCTTTTTTTAAAATGAATAATCACTCCCAATTTATTATATGTGTGGGTGTGTCTGTGTGTCCACCCACTTTTATGGATATATATTCAAGAATTCATAAACTTTTTAAAGTTCAAAGCTGAAGTTTAAAGAGTTCGGATTGCTCTTTAAAGCAAGGAATGGCTGTGAAACTGTCACATCTCGGAAAGCACTCTCCGGTGTTTCGTGGCCCCAGACTGTGTGGCGAGGCATGAGCGATGAGTAAAAGACATAATTCTTGTGCTGATCTGTGACAGAACAGCCATCGTACTGCTCTTAGTTCATTGACTTTTAGAATAAGGCTGATTGCAGCAATTCATACATGTTGTTATGAAAACACACGTAAGGATGAAAACGCTTACTGTCATCAGTTTTTCTCTAAGCTAGGCTTCTTCCTTTCCCAGGCAGTACATGGTGCTGGTCCCCTCCCTGCTCCACACCGAGACCCCTGAGAAGGGCTGTGTCCTTCTGAGCCACCTGAACGAGACAGTGACTCTCAGTGCTTCATTGGAGTCTGCCAGCGGAAACAGGAGCCTCTTCACTGACCTGGTGG